TCCATTCAGCAGAGCATGAATGGGCACCTCTGAACATCCCCTTAAATCACCCTATTTCAACCAGGTTACCGTGAATGATATCACTCTCCTGAGGATAACAAAGAGAGATAAGGAATGGATATTGTCTGTATGCCAGCAAACACCGGGACCATACGCTGCCATGCTTCGTTATGCAATGATTTCCAGACTACGTGTTACTGGCCTGGTGTGGTAAAGTGTTTTACCATGGAGGACGGAATAAGGCAGCCCTCCCCAGAAACCTTTTGCAAAGGCTTTGGGAGTACATCAAGGAGAGCTTTCTGGAGATATCCCTGGAGGATTTCTGCTTCATCCCCATACAGATTAACAGACTTTTCCAGTAGCTGTACTGGCCGCGAATGCCAGGGCGAATTAATCATTAAACACGCTTGCTTTTAAACCATGTGTAATATTTACAAAGGTACACTCACCAGAGGTGCCTTGTGTGCCCTCAGGGTCTGAAAGCACGCCTTGGGTGAGTTCGGGGGTTACTGGTTCCAGGTCCAGGGTGAAAAACGTATCCTGGCTGTTGCGAAACCGGTTTCTCCGCTTCCTTGCTGTGAGCTATTGAAGACAGCAAGGATGAAGACATCTTCAATGTCTTCGTCATCTTCCTTATCCCCAAAACCCGCTTCCGTGTTTCGTGATTCTCCATTGACTGAGTCAAAGCACAGGGTTGAGGTAATGGTGGCTGCATCCCCTAGCATGGCATGCAGCTCAGCGTAGAAGCGGCATGTCTGCGGCTCTTCCCCGGAGCTTCCGTTTGCCTCTCTGGTTTTGTGGTAGGCTTGCCTTAGCTCCTTAATGTTCACGCGGCATTGCTGAGTGTCCCTGTTATGGCCTCTGTCCTTCATGCCCTTTGAGACTTTTTCTAATGTTTTGGCATTTCGTTTACTGCAGTGGAGTTCAGCTAGCACTGATTGGTCTCCCCATAGGGCGAGCAGATCCTGTACCTCCCGTTTGGTCCATGCTGGAGCTCTTTTGCGATCCTGGGACTCCATCATGGTTACCTGTACTGATGAGCTCTGCGTGTCCACTTGTGCTCTCCACCACGCTGGGCAAACAGGAAATTCAAAATTTTGCGGGCCTTTTCCTGTCTACCTGGCCAGTGCATCTGAGTTGAGAGTGCTGACCAGAGCGGTCAAAATGGACAACTCTGGGATAGCTCCCGGAGGCCAATACTGTCGAATTGCATCCACACTACCCCAAATCCAACCGGGAAAGGCCGGTTTCAGCGCTAATCCCCTCGTCAGAGGTGGATTAAAGAAATCGTTTTAAAGAGCCCTTTAAGTCGAAAAAAAGTTGTGTGGATGGGTCCAGGCTTAAATCGAGGTAATGCTGCTAAATTCGACCTAAAATCGTAGTGTAGACCAGGCCCAAGTATTCCTTCAGTAAGAGTTCTGTGTCAGGTATGGTGGGTCTGCCTGGGTTTCCTTGTTTGGGTGTCTTGGGAAGCATGTAGAAGTTGTGGGGGATGAGGTTGTAGAGTTTCTATGGGAGGAGTTTGGGGAAGGATTTGATGGTATCCTTAAATTACTGGGTGAACTGTGGTGTGGGGTTGTATTTGAGTTCTTTTATAATCGGTGCAAAAACAATGAAGAGTCTGGTGGCACCTTAAAGACTAACAGATTTATTTGGGCATAAGCTTTCATGGGTAAAAAACCCACTTCTTCAGATGCATGGAGTCAGAGTGTTTGCTGGCCTTCATGACGCAGTCATCACAGTTAAGGACTGCAATGGCACTCCCTTTGTCTGCTGACTTGATTGCTATCTGGTGATTGAATTTCAGGGACTGGATAGTTATCCTCTTGTTGGTGAGAGATTGTGGTGGATGTAATGTTCGATGAGGATTTTACAGTTAATTTTTTTCCTGAATTTTTAAAGTTATAACTGCGTTTTTCTCCTGTTAGTACTGCAATGATCCAAACCACACACAAGTGTACAGTGTCTATATTGGTAACAGATAGAAATGTATTCAGCCTCATGTCTGTCTCCACTGAATCATTCCACAAATTGTAGCATTCTATGGGCTTAACAGAACTTGACAAGTTAAGGGAGGATATTGTGAAAAGCTTTTGCTTTCTTACTTGATTTTCTTTGTGAATGCCAGGGGGAGCTATTTCCTATTAGCAGCTTTGTTCTCTTGAAAGACACTCCTTTCAAAATAGGTAACAGCAGTGTTGCAAGGAATTGGTCATGCGATGGTGTTAAATCAAGCATCAGCTGAAATTCGTGTTCAGTAGTTCGTTTTGTTTTCATAGGATTCTGCTGTTTGGAGGTACTGGCTATTTCATTCCTGCTTGTTTTTCACATGCCAAAATATAGACAATTTTAACCCCCCCTGATTGTGGGCTGTCTCCACATTTTCTTGTTTTTCTCTTATTTTCCCAGCCGGCAGCCATCATTGTGGTGCTATATAAATATGGCTTCTGCACCATCAAGTATAAATTTGTGAAGCAAAAATTCCCCCCCGCCCCCCAATTAATGAGAAATTAGAAGGATTGAGCACTAAGTCCGTCCCTTTACTTGTAAAGTGAGAAAATTTACTGTTGAAATTGCAAAGACAAATCTTTGGAACTCCCCCTTCATGCTATATATTTCTCAAGTTTAGGTTCACACTTAAATGTCAATGTTTTTCAATTTATTCTTTCAATAATCTATCAACCTGCAATTTTTTTCTTTGGCTATGCCATGCTGACCTTTACAGCATCTTTGGACCCTTGTTGTTTTTGTGTAAATCTTACTATGCTCCAAGTATCTTCAGAATGTGGTAGGCAATGGTGCTCTAAATATAAATTTACTTTTTAAAATTGCTGTCTCATTGTAGTTGTCTTTTCTTCTTTTGGAAAGGAACTACCATCCAGTAAGTGTTAACAATTCTGATTTTTGATTTGGTAAATACCTAAGTAAAATTCCGCTTTTAAAAAGTCATCCACCTTTTAAAATAGGATTCTTGGAATATCGCTGAATTGTGTGGAGAGATTTCTGTTCCAGTCTCAATTTATTATGACACATCTTGTCCGCACATCATTTTAATGTTAGCTTCTGCTAGGAGCTTGTGGGGGTTGGGGGAGAAGATGAAGTTGGTGGGAAACATCCATTCTCATTCTCATGGACCTCTCAGCAGCATTTGACCATGAGGTACTGCTGATCCCAATTAAGAGAGGTGGCAGTGGTCCGGATGAATGTGCCAAACTGCTCTGAGTCCCACCCAAAGAGCAGTAGTGGGAAACTGGACCTGTAGCACTAGATTCTTCACTTGTGGAATTTCACAAGGATCAGTAGCTCTCTAGTCCTATTCAGCATCTGCGTGCAGCCACTAAGTGAACTGATAAGATGAGGTGGACTCAAGTGCCAGCAGGATATAGATGAGAGACCGCTCTACTTATCTTTCAGCACATATGATCATACTGCTACCACAAAGATGTTCCATTGCTTAGATGAGATCCTGCTTATAGATGGAGAACAACTGGTGGAAGCTCAACCAAAGCAAGGCAGAGATTATGCTGGGGGCAGAAGAAACCCCTCCGGTTGACCCGAGAATCTATCCCATCCTGGTGGATGATGACCTGGCCTCAGTTATACACTTTCATCAACTCCCATCTGGACTATAGCAATGCAGTACACTTGGCATGAAGCCATCAGCCTGAAGAAAACTCCAGCTGCTACAGAATGCTGCAGCACATCTCAGCAACATGGGCTACTGTGAGTGCATCAATCCTGTTCTGTCTCTGCAGTGGCTTTCCGTAGAATATTGAGTCAAGTTTAAGGTCCCAGCATTTTATCTTAAAATTGATCAGTGACCTGAGCACAGCATATCTAAAAGATGACCTAAAACTCTGGGATGAAGACTCTGGTAAACAGCTCTGCTCCTTAGGCACAATGGAATTGGTTACCATAAGGGCAAAAGTTAGTCTTTTGCAGGAGACAGACCTTTCTCAGGGCTGTCCAAGACAGGAACAAGTCCCACAGGAACTAAGGACCATCAAAAACCTTGCATCTTATACTCCAAGTGCAAGGCATATTTCTCCAACCTTGCATTCTCAAAAAATATATAGCAGCATGTACATTAATTAAAAAAAAACACAAAAAACCCAAAACCAAACCAAAAACCCTGTCACCAAACACTACACTGTATGCACAATTTTTCCCTTGGAGAGAAGATGAGAGAGAATATGAACCACATGCAATAAATGGTAGTCATGTTGTTTAATGCAGTTTTGGAGGGCACTTGGATTAAACAGCGATGAGGGTGGCATAAGAATCCATATAGAGTAGAAGGTTGAAGAGCAAGTCCTAGGAGCTAGTAAATACTGTTGGAGTTCCGTGGCTTACTCATGTATCTCATTGGGTTTCTTCAGCCTGTTATCTCTTCCTTTTCTTAATGATTTTTCTCAGTAGGAATACCCAGGTTAGTACTAATTTAGCTCCAGGGGATCATCCTTTTTTGTCCAGTGTCTCAAACATTGAGTAATTACTGTTCTACTTTCTTTGATGCACAATTATGGTTTAAACAAATGTGATGGTAATACTTGTAAAAATGCAGAAGCATACTAGTACTTATCTTTTCACCTCATATCTAAAAATATATTAGAGAAAATTCCACCTGTCTGACATCTAAGACTTGAATACATTTTTAAGTTTTTCACCAAGATAATATACATGGCATTAATTCCATATGTTTCTGTAGAAAACTGTAATGCTTCTCCACGTTGCAACCCACTAAAAACAACAACAAAAACTTCCCCATGTCCACACATTACATATTGATGACTTATCTGTTTAATATAGCCTTTTGCAATGGGCTAGCTGGATATGTGATTTTGATGTTGACTGATTCTCAGCTGTTTACTTTAGAGAAGAAATCTTATTTTTGCACTTCCTTTCTATAGTTGAAGCTATGTCTGCCACAACCTCAAGTGGCAAGCTTCTGTTATGCTGATACTTCAGAAGCATAATAAATGTTTTCTATCTGCTTGCAGGATTTGGAGATAGTGTATTCTTATTTACATGGAATGGAAGCCTTGTCTAATCTGAGGGAACACCAACTCAGGTATGGTATTTTAACACAAATATTATGCTACTTACGTGCTAAAGAGGCATCTGTTAGTGGTGAATTAGAAAATATTTTTTTACCCAGATATCATGGTGATAAATATCTTAATACTTGTAATAATACTTGATTTCTTTTATCTTATAAACTTGGCAGTAATAATGCAGATTTTTAATTTACTACTTATCAGCACGATCAGCTGTAAATATAGAGTTTTTAAAACCAGAGTAACAAACTTTTGTAGAAAATTGGTTGCTAGATTTTTTTTCACCTCTTATGTATTTTAGTTAAAAATAAATAAATTCAGTTTATATGAAATATTAGTGAATAATTTTAGATTAAATACTACCAGAAATTTTAACTTGTATTAGAGGCAGAGCTGGCAGTGCCAACTATAGCTAAGGTTGTCTAATGCTTTCTATTTTAAGACTGTTCTCAATTGGCTGTAACTTTACCAAACTTTAAACTGTTTAAGATGAAATTTTCCATGCCGGGTATCTGGCTCAGGTTGAATTTTTTTGGACTGCTTCAGCCAAAATGGTTAAACTGCTTCTGAGAAGCTTTTCCCTAATGTTACACTCCTATAGCTATTTTAGGAAGCTGTAGCGCCTCCATGTTTTTGAGAAGGGATTTGAAATTGCATGAGGATTGCCCTGTTTTCAGAGAGGTACAATTTGCTGTCCCATGAAAATCTACCCAAATTTGGCTGACTTAAGTCTCTGAAAATTGTTGTTTGTATATGATGAGTACTGGTTTGTTAGAGAATGTCAGCAAAGTTCTGTGAACATTGTCTCCACTGAGTATGCTCCACCTGAACAGAGCTCTGTGCTAACTACACTGAGTGAGGTCCAACCTGTGTCTCGACAGAGCTTTTCATGCAGTTGGTTCTGACTGAGGAGGACCTTTTTACTTCTGGGGCAATTCTATGTCCCTTCTCCCCCCCCCCCCCCCCCAAAAAAACTCTGCGAAAAATATTGTAAAATTCTGCAAATGTTAGTTGTCAAAATAACACTACATAATCAGGCCAGTTTCAATTATTTTGGTAATTTATTTCAAAATACCTGTTAGCAAGTATGTATGTAACAATACAGAGAGACACACAAAAATTCCCCCAGGAATAGAAAGTTAAGGAAACCCCTATGACAAGTCAGTTCCTGTTCTCCCCTCCCCGCCCCCTCCGAGCCCAGCCAGGGTGCCAGACACCCACAACCCCTCCTCTCCACAGCCCAGCTCTGGCCTCCCTTTGCCCAGATACCTGCACCCCCTCCCCCCAGAGCCCAGACATCCACTTCCCCCCTGACCTCTGAGTCCAGGGATCCAGAGGGAGAAACAGCCTAATGATCAGTCCCAGACTTGCATGGAGTTTTCCCGCACGCCGCCGTTTCCTTCTGTCAGAGCATGCGGGGAATCGCAGCTGCTGGGAGCCCTCTAGCTCTCTCATGCTCCCCATGGCGGTGTCTTCTATGTGCGAGCTGGGCTCTGCTGTGTCCAGTGGCCCCTAGTGGCAGCCAGCAGCACTGCAGCCCATTTCTGTGGGGGAAAGGATATTCTGCACACACAACATTAATTTCTGCAAAATTCTGCATTGTGCAGTGGCACAGAATTCCCCCAAGAGTACCTCTTTGATGCTGGAACTGAGAACAGGGAGACTCCTGTGCTGTTAGTGCTCCTCATGCTGGAACACAGGCAGTTTGGAGGAGGAGGAAAGGAAGCAGCCCTATTTGAATGCAGAAGGGTGAGGAGCAAAGAGGACAAGCAAGAAGGAGACAAGAGCATGGGGGGAAAGCGTAGAGGCTTGGTGGTTGGACCAGGAGCAAGGGCGGAGTCAACGATAGAATAAAAGGTTCAACACAGGCAACTTGGAAGAGGATAGAAGCAGAGAAGACAGGGACAGAAACTGACAGGCTGGGGATGTAGGGAACGTGGTAGGGGATGGGTCATAAGCAGGCAGGTTTTTGGGGTCAGGGCAGAAGGATATATAACCACTAAAGAATACTCCCCTCCAGTATCTGGAATAGAACCCAAGATTCTCAAGTTCCAACATTTCTCATTTCCCAGTAGGTCTCATAATGTTTGATAGTGTCTCATCCCCCTTTAGTGACTGACCCACACAGAGGATAACAGCCTACTATTACTATGAGTTGCTCTGTTAGCTCAGGTGCTAGAGGTTTCTGCTGTAGATCCAAAGGTTCCAATTTTGCTGATGACCCCTGTGCAGAGGCAGCATGATTCTACATGATATCTCATTTTTTTCAGTTTGCTTTTATGAAAACTTTGTTTTTATGAAGTTTTCAAGGTAAAGAGAAATTTAAGATTGCAAAGTCAAGCACTCTGTGTGACACACGAGGGTATAATCCAAACCAATGAGTAGTTGTCACCCCTGCCTTGTCACTTGAGGTGCCCTTTACAATGCCTTGTAGTCTCCAACCTAGACTCCTCAGAAACAGCCTGCAGCATGTAAGTCGCTGTCAGCTATATCTGTGTGTGCTGCAGCCAGCCAGCCACACCTTGGCTCTTACCCATGTTAAGGATTACCACACAGTGACTCCAACACACTCCCAGTCCCAGATTTTTCCCAGAAACATATGTCCTATACAGCTCAGCCCTCTCCTGGTCAATACAAATATGTTAAGTCCTATTCCTTAAAGGCAATAATATGCATATAATTTGTTACCCCAAATGGAGTTACCCTGACACTTCAATTTGAACACACTGGGTTAGATAAAATAGTAAAACAGAGAGATTTTAAGTGAGTACAAGTAATGAGGCATGAAAGTCAGAAATGTTTACAAGAAAAATAAAGATTCCTAGTATTTACTTAAGAAACTATCTTAGTTGCAATGAAAACTTTCTCACCACAAGCTCCAGCAGCTGACCAAACTCTCAGGTCAGGACCCCTCCCCTAGAGCCCAACAGCTGCTTCCTTTGTCTCTTCAGGTGCAGTGAATGCAATGGGCGGGAGGGGATGGGGAGAGGAGTGTCTTGCGGTGTCTGTCCCTTCTTTTTATAGTCCTGTCCCGCTTTGAGAAGCATTTCCAGCTGGTGCAAGGTGACAAGCAGTCTGTGTGGAAGGAAACTCCATGTTGGTTCTTTGCCAAAATGTAGAATTTTGCCCTTGACCCCTTTCCTGCCAAAGAATGGCCACTTAGCAGGCAATGCTCCATGTCTAGTTGACACCTGGTTGAGGCATCAGCTTGCTCTTTGTCTCTGAGGAACTGGTTTGGCCACTCCCCAGGCTTATCTGGGAAACATACAGTAGAACCTCAGGGTTATGAACACAAGAGTTATGAACTGACTAGTCAACCACATGCCACATTTGGAACTGGAAGTATGCAATCAGGCAGCAGCAGAGATGGGGGGGGAGCAAATACTGTATAGTACTGTGTTAAATGTAAACTACTTTAAAAAAAAAAAAGGAAAAGCAGCATTTTCCTTCTTCACAGTGAAGTTTGAAAGCTGTATTAAATCAATGATCAGTTGTAAACTTTTGAAAGGACAACCATAACGTTTTGTTCAGAGTTACAAACATCTGAGTTACAACCTCCATTCCCAAGGTGTTTGTAACTCTGAGGTTCTACTGTATTTTTAGTTATGATTTCAACTTATGTTTATAACTTCACATGTAACACTGCTACGTGCATTTTGCCATGATATTGTTGATCAGCAAATTGAGTTTTCACATGATACTTTACAAGGCATACTTCATACAAACATTATTATAACAGTGTATAGGGTGTAAACATGGGTATATTCTATCATATTCGGAAGTTAGAAAATGCTACAGCTGTGTTTGCTCATGCAACCTTAATTTACCCCCCTGCTCTGTATATATTATGATACAGTCTTTAATTACATGATCACAAACTGTTTTTTCTATAGGACCCCTGCCTCATTCAGTTCACATGACGGACTGTGTGCCAGGAGTGAATCAGTTGTTTAGTCAGTGTGGTTATTGTCTGTAGGACTCCTGCCTCATTTGTTTCTGAAGTTGGGAAGTGTGTGGTGAATGATGCAGGAGAATGCATGGGGGAAAAGGATGATCTTGTGGCTAAGGCAGTTGAATATTGCCTTGAAGAATGATTTTATCCCTACCTGTGCCACAAAGCTCCTGTGTGAGAAAGTCACTTAAACCCAGCTTTTTGTAGGTGGTCACTAAGGGTATGTCTACACTGCCTCTTGGAGGAGTCTACAAGTCTGTGTGCTAAAAATAGCTGTTTGGATGTTGCAGTGCCAGATTCTAAACTTAATTAAAACTGAATTGCTGGAGACATGATTTCTTATAATTGATGTGTACAGGTTGACATGACTAATGTCATTGCTGCTGTTCTGTAAAAATCACATTGTTTGAGGGTGTTAGCAAAGGGAGGCCTGAAGCAAAGATAGGAGTCCTTGACCACTATAGGAGCAGTTATACCACTTTCTATCATATTTAAATACCTGTTCATTTGCAAGTGCAATAACACCCTCTTTAGTTTTAATTGGAAAAAAGTGTCAAGAGAATTGAGTACTTCTGAAAATAAATGTTTAATAAAAATAATTGATGTTAACGTAGGTTACAGGTGAAGTCAAGGCCGGATTTCAAGTTAGGTACAGTAGGCACTATAAGGGTGCCTAAAAGTTAAAAGTGGGTTTGAAAGTTAAAAAGTACTTACATTAATTTTTATATTTCTTGTTTCATTTTTTTATGGAAAACTATGAAGGTCAGCTATAAGCGGAGGTGCAGGGAGGAGAGGGGTGCTGAAGATGCTGTGCCTAAAGGCATGTAAAGTATAAATCTGGCCCTAGGTGAAGAGGTGTTCAAGGATACAGTAGTACCATACTGTGAAGAGTGAAGCTAGTGGCAATCTAGAAATCTGTTAAACACTTCTAAATTTTTTTTAACGTTCTCTGATGTGTCCATAGAATAAAATGCCAACTAGGAAAAAATATTCAAGAATTTCTTTACATCAGGTTAGTTACATGCATGTAACCTCAAATCCTTTCACTTTTTTACTAACTGT